CTGCGTAGCATGCACTTGTGTCTCCTTGTCTCTGGCCTCCCCAGGTCCTTGCCTCTGCTCCCGCGCTCGCTTGCACCGCCGTGCCTTCCCTGTGTCGAGGGGCGGCAGCGTGCCGCTCCTCACTCCTCGTCGTCTCTGCCAACTACTGCTCCTCTACAGACTCTCCACATGCACATGTGGGGCTCAGCCCGCGTCCGTGGACAAGACCAGGAGCACTACTTCCTCCTGGTTGTTGACGACTACACGCGCTACACCGCGGTCTTCCCCTTGAGGAGCAAGGCGGATGTCCCCGGTGATTTGATCCACTGGATCACTGCTGTTCGTCGCCAGCTGAGAGCGCGGTTTCAGCAGGACCTCCAGGTCCTGCGACTGCACTCTTACCGAGGCGGTGAGTTTTCTTCCCGCCTCCTTGAGAGTTTTTGTCGTGCGGAGGGCATCGCCCAGTCGTTCACACTTCCGGCCTCTCCACAGAGCAGAATGGGATTGCTGAGTGTCGCATTGGCTTGGTCATGGAGGTTGCTCGCACCTTCATGATCCATGTGGCTGCTCCCCATTTTATGTGGCCGTTTTCGATCCGATACGCCGCACATCAGCTCAACCTTTGGCCCCGTGTTTCTGTGCCAGAGACCTTGCCTACACTGCGTTGGACGGGGGAGGTTGGCGATGCATCGGCGTTTCGGGGGAGGTTGCGCGCTCTCCCTTGTCCGTGATACCACCGCGGGCAATCTCTCTCCTCGCACTCTCCGCTGCGTTTTCTTTGGCTTCCCCACCGATGCCCCGCCCTAGCAGTTTTACCACCCTGCCTCGTGCCGCGTCTTGTCCTCATAGGACGTCACCTTTGACGGATCGGTCTGCTTCTACCTTCTCCACCCACACGCGTCTTCCCCACTCTCCTCGCCGCCCCTCTTTCTGATCATAGATCCCCCCCGGTAGACCCCCTCCCCCCTGTAGGGTCCTGCTCCTTCAGGTGTGTCTAAGGTCGACCCACCCCCCTTGGTTGAGCCTTTGGAGGTCTCCTCTGACACCTCTGGCCCAGCTGAGGGGGGTGACCCCGCTGCTGACGACACGGCGGCCACTCGCCGCTCCCCGCGCTTGGAGACCCCTCCTGGTTTTCCGCCTCGGCCGTCTTCGCCGCCTCCGCAGCCTGTCGCTGTGGACTCTGGTACTGCTGGGGGTGGTGACACCGGGGGTGCGGACTCTTGAGGTGCTGGTCCTGAGGTTGCTGAATCTAGGGGTGCTAAGTCTGGGGATGCTGGATCTGGGGGTGTTGGTTCTAGGGGTGCTGACACTGGGGGTGTTGCGAGTCCTAGTGGTGGTGGAGTCGTGGGTGCTCCTGTTGGGGGTTCTGGCACTGGACAACAGAAGCTGTCTTGTGGACAGGAGACCCTCTTGCCGCAATAGCTTCACGGCTGGGTTGTTCGGCGGGGCCGGGTTGTTGGAGCTTGGAGCACTGGCGCTGGAGGTGCTGGAGGCACTGGAGCTTCTGTTGCTGGAGGAGCTGGAGCTGGAGGTGCTGGAGGTACTAGAGGTGCTAGAGCTGGAGGTACTAGAGGTACTAGAGCTGCTGGTGCTGGAGGTACTAGAGCTGGAGGTACAGGAGGTACAGGAGCTGATGGTGCTGGAGGTGCTAGAGCTGGAGGTGGTGGAGGTACTGGAGTTGTGCTGGAGGTGCTAGAGCTGAAGGTGCTGGAGGTACTGGAGCTGCTGGTGCTGGAGGTGCTAGAGCTAGTGGTGCTAGAGGTACTGGAGGTGCTGGAGCTGGTGGTACTGGAGGTGCTAGAGCTGGAGGTACTGGAGGTGCTGGAGCTTGTGGTACTAAAGGTGCTCGAGCTGGAGGTGCTGGAGCTGCTGGCGGTATGGGTACTGCGCCACGCCGACTGTTTTTCTACCCGCAGCCGTAGTTGTCCCTGCCACCGCCTTAACACTTCGTCAGGTTCTTAGTCTTCCGTATTCCATTGGCCTTACTCCGCCTCTCCTGTGTCCTTCGCCTTACCAGTCACAGCCACCGTTACTGCCTCGCTCCCCGCTGCCTGCTCCGTCTCCTTACCCTGCGCAGACAGGCTCCCTGGCATAGCGTCGTAAGCCCAAGTCTCGTCCTGCCTCCCCTGTTTGCACTGTCAGTCATGCTCGCCGTCCTCGTCCTCCACCTGTCCGCGACACGCACACGATGACACTTCGTCCTTCCTCTGTTCCACAGCGTGTTGCCCTACCATCTCCTCCGGCATACTCTCTTCCTGACGTTCCTGACCCTGAGTTCGACCTTGCTCGTGCTGCTAGTCCTACTGTCACTCGTCTCCTCGCCAGTGTCGTCACTGACCCCTTCCTTTGAGTCTATTGCTGCGTCTGCCTTAGTCACTGAGCTACTCAACTTTGCTGCTATCCGTCGTCTCGACTACGTTGCGAGTCTTATTATGAGTCCGAGTATGTCTGTCCTCCGTCCGTTAGGGGTGAGCTTGCCCTTGGCTGTGATGTCCTTGAGGACAGGCAGTTTGAGCTTGAATGTCTTGCAGCCGCTTTACCTCGTTTCGCGTCCATGATGCTTTGCCCTTAAGGAGACCCGGATCGATTGACATCCCTACCCCGCGCTCTTACGCAGAGGTGATAATGGGTGAGTACTTCTCTCAGTGGCAGACAGCCATGGACGCAGAGATGGCTTCCTGGAAGTCCACATGCACCTACGTCGATGAGGTTCCTCCTCCTGGGGCGAATATAGTCGATGGCATGTGGATTAGTGAAGAGGCTGCCTGGTTCTCCGCCTGCCTTCAAGGCGCGTTACGTTGCTCGAGGCTTCAATCAGCGACAAGGGGTCGACTTCTCCCAGATCTTCTCCCCCACCCTGAAGATGACTACTCTTCAGGTGTTACTGCACGTTACAGCACAGCGTGAATACGAGCTGCACTCCCTCGACTTCTCCTCAGCTTTCTTGCAGGGCAGCCTTTACGAGGAGATCTGGTTGCACCGCCCACCTGGCTTCACTGGGTCATTTCCTAGGGGTACCCAGTGGAGCCTCCGGCGGCCGGTCTACGGTCTCCTCCAGGCGCCTCGTGAGTGGCACGACACACCGAGGACGAGACTTGCAGCTCTTGGGTTTGCTCCTTCAACTGCAGACCCGTCGCTGTTTCTGCGCACCGACCATACTCTGCCGCCGTTCTAAATCCTCGTGTACGTTGACGACTTTGTCTTTGCTACTGCCGACACTGAGGCGCTGACCCTTGTGAAGGCGGAGTTGTAGAAGAGACACACCTGCACTGACCTGGGTGAGCTGCGCAGCTATCTTGGCTTGCAAATCACCCGCGACAGAGCATGGCACACCACCATTGTGACTCAATCACACATGGTGCATCAGGTCCTTCAGCGCTTCGGCTTCGAATTCTCCTCGCCACAGTCCACTCCTCTGGCTACACGCCACTCGCTCTCAGCTCCACCTTCGGACGAGTCCGTAGAGCTGAGTGGTCAGTATCCAGAGCTTGTGGGCTGCCTCATGTTCCTGATGAAGTGCACTCGACCTGACCTCGCATACCGTCTCAGCATCCTGGTGCGCTACGTTGCGCCCAGGAGACACCGACCAGAGCACTGGCGGGCTGCTAAGAGGGTGTTGCGTTACTTGTGCAGTACATCGGGCATGGGGCTCGTGCTTGGAGGACGGGGTTCAGTGGTACTCACAGGACACTCCGACGCTTCATGGGCCGACGACCAGGCGAGTCAGCTGTCGTCCCAGGGTTACTCTTTCAGTCTCGGCTCTGGTTCTGTCTCGTGGACGTCCACTCGTTTGTATTCTGTACTTGGTTCCAGCTGTGAGGCCGAGATCTATGCTGGGGCTATGGCTGCACAGGAGTTACGCTGGCTGACCTACCTGCTGACCGACTTGGGTGAGTGGCCTCGTTCTCCTCTGTTGGAATATATATGTAACGCCTGTAGCTGTAGTTTAGTGTAGCTATCATAAACTGTTGGGGGTGCACCATTCTTGGTTCTTGCCTATATCCTTGTACTGTTTCTCATTATTCAACATCTTTCACTTCTTTCTCGATTCTCCTTGCCTCAACTTCCTCTCGTAACTCTCACCATGGCTAAACCTAATCACATAAGTTATTAGCTATTTTGACATGGTATTCAGAGCAGGCTCGTTCCTAGAGCCTTCATCTTGGGCCCACCATTAGCTTTCGCTATGGCACAGTCCGTCAAGCTGCCCGTCGCGCGCCCAGGGCGAAAGTCGGTTTCTGCCCGGCGCGCGCCCCAGTCGCGCGTCGGTTTCTGCCCGTCGCACGCCCCGGGCGTGCGTCCGTTTCTACCCGGGCGTTGGGGGGGACGTGTTGGGGGGCCCCTTCCCCTCCGCCTCTCCTTTCCCCCCCTGGTGCTCCTACTGCGCGCGACGGTTTCTGCATGCCCGTGCGCCCTGCAGTCGCACGCGCAGCTCATACCCCCCCCCCTCCCCCCCGCCCCCCCCCCCCCCCTTCTCCTCCATCTCCCTGCTGCGCGTGCAGAAGTTTGGAGGGAGGAGGGGGGGAGAGGGTGTGAGGGGGTGGCAGATGTGTTTCAGCAGCAGCAACTGCCACCACGCCTCCTCCTCTCTCACGGCTGCACCTGCTGCTGTGGGGGGAGAGGGTGTGAGGGGGTGGCGGATGTGCCTCAGCAGTAGCTGCTGCTGCCACGCCTCCTCCCCTCTTACGGCTGCACCTGCTGCTGTGGGGGGAGTGGGGGAGAGAGTGTGAGGGGGTGGCGGATGTTTTTCGTGCGACCTGCGGTCGCCCACGCAGCCCCTACACCGCCCCCCCAGCCCCCCCCTTCTCCTCCGTCCCCCTGCTGATCGTACAGCAGGGGGGGGAGGGTATGGGGGTGGCGGGGGTGGGGAACGACGGGTTCCTGCCCGTCCCGCACCCTGCTGTCGCCCGGGCAGCTTCTACACCGCCCCACCCCCCCCCCCCCCCCCCCTTCTCCTCCATCCCCCTACTGCAGGTGCAGCAGTGGGAGGAGGGTATGTGGGTGCCCCTCGCACCCCCTCGTCAGTGCCCCTCGCACCCCCTCGTGGGTGCCCCTCGCACCCCCTCGTGAGTGCCCCTCGCACCCCCTCGTGAGTGCCCCTTGCACCCCCTCGTGAGTGCCCCTCGCACGCCCTCGTGAGTGCCCCTCGCACCCCCTCGTGGGTGCCCCTCACACCCCCTCGTGAGTGCCCCTCGCACCCCCTCGTGGGTGCCCCTCGCACCCCCTCGTGAGTGCCCCTTGTACCCCCTCGTGAGTGCCCCTCGCACGCCCTCGTGAGTGCCCCTCGCACCCCCTCGTGGGTGCCCCTCGCACGCCCTCGTGAGTGCCCCTCGCACCCCCTCGTGGGTGCCCCTCGCACCCCCTCGTGAGTGCCCCTCGCACCTCCTCGTGAGTGCCCCTTGCACCCCCTCGTGAGTGCCCCTCGCACCCCCTCGTGAGTGTCCATCGCACCCCTTCGTGAGTGCCCCTCGCACCCCCTCGTGAGTGCCCCTCGCACCCCCTCGTGAGTGCCCCTCGCACCCCCTCGTGAGTGCCCCTCGCACCCCCTCGTGAGTGCCCCTCGCACCCCCTCGTGAGTGCCCCTTGCACCCCCTCGTGAGTGCCACTTGCACCCCCTCGTGAGTGCCCCTTGCACCCCCTCGTGAGTGCCCCTTACACCCCCTCGTGAGTGCCCCTTGCAACCCCTCGTGGGTGCCCCTCGCACCCCCTCGTGAATGCCCCGCGCACCCCCTCGTGAGTGCCCCTTGCACCCCCTCGTAAGTGCCCCTCGCACCCCCTCGTGAGTGCCCCTCGCACCCCCTCGTGAGTGCCCCTCGCACCCCCTCGTGAGTGCCCCTTGCACCCCCTCGTGAGTGCCCCTCGCACCCCCTCGTGAGTGCCCCTCGCCCCCCCTTCTCCTCCATCCCCCTGCTGCGGGTGCAGCAGTGGGCGGGAGAGGGGGGGGGGGGTATGGGGGTGGCGGGTGTGAGTAGCCAGGAGCCCATCACCTCCTCCTCTCTCTCCCTACTGCACCTGTTGTTGTGCTGGGAGACAGGGGGGGGGAGCTTGGAGGTGTGAGGGGGTGGCGAGGGAGATTCTGCCTACCCAGCAGCCGCCCCTCCTCCTCTCTCTCTCACGGCCGCGCGTGCCACTGTGGGGGGGAGGGTGAGGCGGTGGCGGAAGACAGCCAGGCATCGGCAGCTGCCGCCCGCTGCTACGGTGGCACCTCCAACTGCCGCCCCTGCCTCCAACTGCTGTCTGCTTCTCTTGAGCGGCCGTTGAGTGCTGCTGTGCTGCCGTTGAGCGCTGCTGTGCTGCCGCACGCTACCGCCGCAAGCACCTGCTCTCCAGGCGGCCTGCCGCCACATGCACCTTATTCTTTTGCTTGCTTCTATCTTGGCTGAGGGGTTGTTGCAGCTGAATACGCCACCACTGCACCGGTTGTCACTGCTCTTGCCTACTGCTACTTTACTCTGCACAAACTCCTACTGCAAGCAGTTATGGGGGTGTGTTGGAATATATATGTAACTGCCTGTAGCTGTAGTTTAGTGTAGCTATCATAAACTGTTGGGAGTGCACCATTCTTGGTTCTTGCCTATATCCTTGTACTGTTTCTCATTATTCAACATCTTTCACTTCTTTCTCGATTCTCCTTGCCTCAACTTCCTCTCGTAACTCTCACCATGGCTAAACCTTGTCTCCTAAGTTATTAGCTATTTTGACATCCTCCAGTTCTGTACGTCGACAACAAGGCCATGATTGCCTTGTGTCATGAGTAGAGACTTGAGCACGGAACGAAGCACATTGCTCTTCGTTACTTTCTTGCTCGGGAGCTGTAGCAGCGTGGTCGGCTACGCCTTGCTTAAGTGGCCTCTTGGGCCAACACTGCTAATGTCTTCACCAAGGCCCTTGGATCTGGTGATCAACAGCATTTCTGCACTGCTCTAGGCCTCGTGCCTACTCTGCCTCACCTACTGGTTGCTTGACTTGTCTTGTATTGTGATCTATGTATATATATAGCTGCATACTTGCTCTTTCTAGGTTGTGATCACTGTACTGCTTGTGCTTTTATAACTTCCCATGTGAACTGGCCTTGTGGCCGCTTGCTTGTGGTGATCTTGAGATTTACCTTGAGCTTTGCTTTCTTTGTTCTCTTGCTTGACTGGTCTTGTGACCGTCCGTTGTGTTTGCTACCCCCCACTTTGCCTATGGGGGTGTGTCAAATTGCATTTGTATGTCTTGAAGCTGTGATGGGGCATACTCTAAGGGGTACAACACTTTAGGTCAACCCAAGTACTTGTACTTATCCTTGCATCCTAGTCAATCATTCCTACGCACTATTGTTGAAACTTTGTTGCGATGCCTATCTTCTCCAGGTTGGTAAGATGAGCAGCGGAGATGATGTGATCAGGCCCTCAGATATCAGGCTTTTTACCATGATTTGACTGATTTTCAGCCTTTTTTTCTGTACCAACCCTGAACTTTCAGCCTTTTTTTATTTTGTAACCCTGAAATTTCAGCATTTTTTTATGTAAGGGGACTGATTTTTCAGCCTTTTATCGAACGTGTTCACTGAATGCAGATTCCGCGTCCTTCCTGCAAAACATCCGAGATCATCGGGACTCAAACATTTTCACATCACAATCGTACAAATACCGTATCACCCCGGATAGAAGCGGAAGTGCGCTTATAATAAAACAATGTTTTTTAGGGGGGTGCGCTTCTAATTGAGTCATTTTTATAAGCGCATGCGCTTATATAATGACATATACGAATTTATAAATTTAAGACACCGAATTGTATGTTTCGCTCTTGCCATTTCAACCGAGTCTAAAATTTTCGCGTCACAAAGCAAAATCGCCTGCAAGCGATTCTCTTCCAACACACAGGGGCCAAGATGCGACACTTTGCAGTCATGCTTGTTAGAATTTAATCTGTCTGAATAGGATCGTAGTCTTAGGATGGTAGCTTCCTGTCGTAGCGGAAGTCTTATATGAGTGACTTGTAACAGGATCAATGTCTCTGAAATCAAATATATTATAAAATGACAAGCATACAGAATATATAGCTAGACTAAAGTACCTGTTCGCCTACTGTGCTGTATTTATTCGCGCTATTCCTGTTCTGAAACGGTACGTGACTATTCGCGATACCTACAGCTACTGATGACGTCATCCTAGGGCGCGTAGCGCTTTGCTGACGTCAGTCTATCGGTACTTTTACTGTACTAACTATACTACACGAATTTCTTGAAGTGCATAAACCTCGATATTATCTCAACACTCCCCTTCACTTCTAGGAGTTCGGTGTAGTCATCCTGTTGACTCGGAAATACCACTGAGCTGGTTGCAGTGATGAAATTTCTGACGTGTCAGCTTCTTAGTAAGCGAATCAGCGGCCATGTCACTGGTGGAGCAGTAGACAAGGCGCATTCTCCCCTTGTCGATCACGTCTTTTACGAAGAAGTAACGCAGCGAAATATGCTTCGTGCGATTAATGAAACCAGGCTTGTTGGCGATAGTAATTGCACTCTGGTTGTCGCACTGCAACGTGAACTGATTCGGCGTGACGAATTTTGCTTCGTCAAGCAATTCCTGCAAGTATAGACCTTCGCGAGTTGCAGCACAAGCGGCGATGAATTCTGCTTCAGCCGAAGAAAGTGACACTAGTTCCTGTTTCGAGGAATTCCAGGAAATCGGACCAATCGGCTCGAGACGAAAAATATAACCCGTGCGTGACCGATCTGACGTGTCGCCAGCGTGGTCCGCGTCAACGTACCCGCTGAGGTACATTTTGTCGGTCGGCTTCCCAGCATTGAAAATCAATCCAAGTGTTGGTGTTGAGACGAAGTAACGTAACGCACGCTGTAAGTCGAGAGAGTGTTCTTCTTTCGGGCAGCGTAAAAACTGTGCAAGGTGCCTTGCGATGTAGGCAAGATCAGGGCGACAGGTGACAGCTGCGAAAAGAAGACATCCCAGCTGCTGCTGATACAGTTGAAGACCAGCTGCTGACAAATTTTTCAGGTTGGGAACGTGCCCGGTGAGTGTAGACCGATAAGGTGTAGCAACGAAATCCGTGGGGATGTTGAAACGCTTAGCGAGTGACTCCGCATACTTCGAAGCCGTGAGATGAATAGCGGAAGAAGTTCGCGAAACGTTTAACCCCAGAAACTGAGTTACTTTGGTGGAAATGGTTAAGTCAAGTGACTTCTTCAGATCAGCTTCGATACGATCACCCAGCGAAGTAGACGAACTGACGTAGAGGATGTCGTCCACGTAAGCCACTAACAACGCATAGCTCCCCTTGTCGTCTAGCCGGTACATCCCTGGATCGTGTGGCAGTTGTCTAAACCCAACCTCCGTCAGCTTCCTGTTCAAATGCTGCTGCCACAGTCGCGGTGCTTGTTTGATTCCGTGCAGTGATTTTTTGAGCTTGCAGACACTCGGCGGATTTGTCGGATAGGTGTGTGGATATTCGACGTAGATTTCGGCATCGACGTCGGCGTACAGAAAAGCGTTGGAAACATCGATTTGTCGAAGTGGAAAATTCTTCGCGGCTGCTTCGCAAAGAACGAGTCGAACACTCGTATGTCGACTGACCGGGGCGAAAGTAAGTGTGTAGTCGATCCCATGAGTCTGATCAAAACCACGTACCACCTATCGTGCCTTGTGTTTCTCGTAAGTACCATCCGCTTTAGTCTTCACCCTGAAGACCCACTTACCGGTAAGAACATTTTTGTTTACCGTTTTTTCAATGGGTATAAGATCCCAAGTTCCCCTTTTCTCCAGGGCAGCCAGTTCGCGATCCATCGCTTCACGCCATTTTTCACGATGAGGCCCTGAGAGAGCTTGTCGGGCAGTTTTCGGCTCCAAATTCACTGTAGAACTGTGCTGTACCGCTGCTGCGAGTCCCAGAATTTGCAGTCCGGTCTGATAATGCGGATTATCGTCGGTGCGACCTGCGAAATTGACAGAATCATTCTGGTCTCCACTTGCCCCCCCAATTTCGTCAGGGTTGACACGGATGCTGCTATCAGAAACCACCGGCATTGGTTGGCGTTGTTCATCCACGAGGTAAGTATGATGAACATCGCGAACATCCTCAGGTGCCGTGTCAGCAAGAGGAATAAACTCCGGAATTCCGGATGACGTGACAGGGACAGGTGGGTCGGGAGCAGCTTCACGTGCACCGTCAGAGTCAGGTTCTTCGCTGGCAGCAATTTCGACATCGGCGTTAGCAAACGAACGAACACCGTGGAAAAGCGTGGCAGGGTTTTGCTGTGAAGCAAGATGCTGTTCGAAGACGGGCAGCGTCAGATTCTCATAGAAAATACAGTCGCGAGCAGGAACAAGGAGACGACTGCGGTAATCCATGATACGCCAGGCAAAATATTGTTTTTCAATGCCGAGATGCAGCCCCCACTTAGCACGCTGATCGAACTTCCCGAGCGGAGCAGTAGGAGGACGATATTTTACGATACACCCAAAAACTCGAAGAAGTTTCGTAGTGCCCAATTTTCCTGTCCATAATAAGTGAGGTGATGCGTTGTTAGGTAAAGCTGACGAAGACAGGAGGTTGTGCAACAGTGTTGCATGGTCCATTGCGAAGGGCCAGTAGAGTGGGCCAAGTTGAGACTGTGCAAGAAGAGCTCGCATCTTCTCTTGCAGAGTACGATTGAGGCGTTCAGCTACACCGCTCTGCTGGTGAGCGTGAGGAAGTGAGAACAGCGTGCCTCTTTTTTGCAGGTACGCTGTAAACTCGAGGCTGCGATACTCTCCAGCTCCGTCACACTGGAAGCTTTTGAGTTTGGTGTCGGACTCGCGTTCGGCGAGAGGAAGCCATGTCTGAAACGCTGTGAAAGCAAGAAAAAGATTAGTCATGTTACCAGTCCAGACATATCGAGTAGAAGCGTCAGTGAACGTGATAACATATTTCTCGCCGTTGAAACCCTTCGAAGGTAAGTTGAGAATATCACTGTAAACTTTTTCCATCAATCGATAATCCTCAGCGCCAGGGAAATGAGTGGGGAACGGCTCGTGCGGTAGGTTCGCTGCAGGGCAGATGGTGCAGGGTGCCGGGCGATTCACCGGCTTGAGTTCGAGACCGCTCGGTAAAAGTAACGAATTCTTGTCAAGTACTGCAGCCTTGATCGTGTTGTTTAGCGTAGACTGCGACGGATGACCAAGTCGTTTATGCCATGTTTCTCCCGTGGCTTTGTGACCTTGTGCGCGCAGGTAATACTCGGCGTTAGCGAAGAACGACAACAGAAGCTGATGACCATCAGAGCGGATCTGATCGAAAGCAGGTGCTACGTAACGAGTAAGATTTGGTGGTGGAACACGAACCTCAACATCCACGTACTCGCCTGGAGCAAGGACTAACTCGCCGCTTTCTTGATCAGATGCTGCAGGTACTGGTTCAACTCCAACGAGATGACCCGAGTCAAGAATCTCCATATCAGCGACGCGTTGTTCAGCTTCAGCGAGAAGACGAGCAGCGCGTTCAGCAGGCGTCTCGCCCCAAGTTGTTTCATCGGGTTCGTCAGCCCCCCAGATGCCGTCATTAGTCGGCATGTTCGTCGGATCACCCCAACCTTCAACTGCAGCCATGTACTCCCGGGAGTTCTGAACATCATTCAAGCCTTGATCGTCGAAGGTCAACATGACGGCGGCAGCCGTGGTTGAAGACGTCGGGACAACTCCCTCACGTGGAACTGTATCGTCAGTGTAATCAATGTCGTCGCGATGCTCCCAAGGA